CTGGCTGCGCAACTACGTCTACCTCCGCGTCACGCCCAAGGGCAAGAAACCCGGCTTCCGGGCCAGTATGGCTACCTTCGCCACCAGTGCCCTCTGGCACGGTTTCCACCCAGGATACTACATGACCTTTGTACTGGGCTCATTCGTTCAGACCGTGGCCAAGAGTAAGCACGACCAAGATATCTCCATAATCGAACCCTCCCATAACTAACCATACAATAGACTTCCGCCGCTACGTGCGCCCCTTCTTCCTCACACCGGACGGCACCAAGCCAACACAAAACAAGCGCTACTACGACATCCTCAGCTGGCTAGCTACACAGCTAACCCTTTCCTTCACCGTCATTCCCTTCATTCTCCTCAACTTCGATGGTTCCTTCACCGTCTGGTCCCGTGTCTACTTCTACGGCATCATCAACATCGCCGTCTCCCTAGTCGGCTTCGCCTCCTTCTCCCCGCTCAGAAAATACCTCGTCGCCCAGCTGAAGCGCCGCAACCGTCCCCACGTCCCTCGCACCGCTAGCACCGAGTCCGTGCGCCCGCCTGACCTCGGCTTTCCGAATGATCCTGAACGTGACTTTGACGAGGCTGTTGCTGAGATCAAGGCTGAGATTGAGTCCCGTGGTAGACGGGGAAGTACAGTTAAGATGCCCACTGGGGAGGAGTTGAAGGCTGCTGTTGAGCAGAAGATTGGGCGGAAGTTGTAGGCTGTGGCAGTTCTGCTTTGAGAACTGCGTGGAGTGGTGGGTTTATTGGATAGAAGGGTTAAATAGCCGTCCCTTTCGGCTTTTTTTGTTTGCTCCGCTTTGCTATATAACATAATGAGTGTTTTTTTTAATTCTATTTAATAGTGCTGACTTGGTCGAGATTGGTCTCGTCTAGGTCCGTGTTTATAGATATTCCAAGTGTTTGATGGTTTAGGGAATAGCAAGATTTATTTACAATTACTTTCAAGTTACATATGTAAGTATACCATAAGTGAATTGAGTAAACAAAGTATGATACAACACAGAATGCTGAAGAGAAGAGCAAAAGTAGAGAATATGCGTATGAGGTAGAAACCGGATTCAAGTTCAAATTCAAGTAGAAGGTAAAAGTAACAAGAAACATATATCCATTACATGGACGTATAGCATAAATGCAAACAAAGGCACTCGCCATGCATAGAATCCCATATGAAGCCCATGGACGAGTCTGAAGGCAAATGTTGGATCGAGAAAAATGTAAAACAGAAGAGGATATTTATGTGCGTTGAAGTCGTGGAGTCGTTCACAGAAGAAATGTGCCAGAGAAGAGAAAAGATGAAAAGAAGATGAAAAGGGGAGGCTGAATAGAAGTAAGGAGAAGGGTCTGCAGTATCACTGAACGAGAAAAGAAACCAGTCGACTGGTTGGAGGGACTCAACCCCGAAGGGGGAAAAAAAAAAAAAAAAACAAAAAAAAAAAAACAA